CAGGCCGCTACACCCATGTTGTACGCACCACGTTCCAGGGATGCAGAAAGTGGACCAACGCCCGCGTTGCACGCCGATGCTTCAGATACTGAGTGGCCTTCGCTACCGATCGGAGCAATAAAAAAGACCACATCATGGGCTGCAACTTCAAAGAGGGCGGAAAATGATAGGCAAGACACTGAGAAGAGCCAAACTATGCTGAAGCATCTACTAAAATCTATTCGTGCGATTCTCAACGAGCTACACACGCCAGGAGCGAAAACAGCAGTGCAGATCCTCAACGTGCTGGAACCGCTACTGCTGACCCTTTCATAAACAATATGGCGAATTTCTACGATGAACGTGTGCGCACCTCTGCTATAATGCAGTGGAACGCACGAGGTTTGCGAAGCCGATTGTCTGACTTTCGACAACGGATATTTAAATACAAATTTCCGTTGGTTGTAATATGTGAGCCGAATATGATGTCGTCGTTTCGTATTTCCGGATACGTCACTTTGTGGTCACGTGATGATCGAAATACGAGCAAAGTAATTATATGCGTACGTCAAGATTTAACGTACGTGAGACACTGCCGTGGCTCCTCATGCTTCTAACGACTATATTTGCCTATCTATAAAGCACAAGCGACGTACAATATCAATCATTGGTGGATACATTCCTCCTAGAAGCCACGTGGACTGTCCCCATCTCTTGTCTGTTCTCCAAGCTTGCCCTGGACCACATGTATTGGTTGGGGATTTTAATGCACATCATCCCATGTGGGGTTCTGCCTCAATGAACACCCGCGGTAGGGACATTGCCGATTTTGTGCTCAATCAGGGACTTATGCCCATTAACGATGGCTCACCTACTTACCTCCGTGGCGCATCGTACAGCAGCTGTCTAGACGTATGTTTTGTGAGCAGAAGTCTCTTGCCTACCACCTATTGGTTTGTAGACGTTGAAACACATGGAAGTGACCATCTCCCTACATATATACAGCTAAAAGGATTCCGTTGTTCGTCTCCCCGGCCTGTGAAAAGCGTAGACTGGCCAGGATTCCAAGCTTCTGTAAATGCTCAGTGCGGGAACATTCAATCTATATCTGAAATAGAAAGCCTCATTGCGTCAGCCTTAACAACGCATACGAAACTTGTGAATGTGCCGCTACCAAGATCACAACTTGACGCACAATATGAATACCTTCGTGCAATTCGTCGCCGGGCAGAGAGAAAATACAGGAGGACGAAATCACCATCTGACCTATCTACAGCACGCCAAGCACAACGACATGTATTGCGACACCTCGATAAGCTCGATAGGCAACGGTGGAGGGTATTTTGTAGCTCTCTTGATCCCAGAAAACCCCTGTCTCGAATATGGCAAACTGTGCGAAGCCTTCAGACGCCCACTCAACAGTTGTTCCCTTTCCGATCTTTGGCTCTAAAGCAAGGTCGACCTGAAGTAGAGGTTGCAGAAGATTACTGCCACTTACTCGTAGGTATGACCTCTTCATCGATATTACCTTCGAATTTAGCCTCACCGCCATCCAGCGACGATCGCCTCGACTTACCATTCACAATGCACGAACTCGACGCTGCGATTTCTACGTCCCGACGGTCGTCCGCACCCGGGCCTGACGGAATTACTTATTCGGCTCTATATCACCTCAGCCAGGAAGCAAGGCAGGCTCTCTTGTCGTTCTACAACTCTACGTGGGAAACAGCGACAGTCCCAGAGAGTTGGAAGTGCAGCCGCATAGTGGCCTTACTGAAACCAGGCAAGTGTTCACACGAGTTGTCTTCTTATAGACCCATTGCCCTAGCCAGTTGCATCGGTAAGGTGATGGAACGCATGGTGCTGGCAAGATTGGAATGGCTGCTAGAGGATAATGTCGGCTTACCAGATTTCATAAATGGCTTCCGTAGTGGTCGATCATCTATAGATGGTGTTGTAGATCTAGTTTGTTCTGTTGAAAAGGAAAAACAACGTCGGAGATTGGTAGGGGCCATTTTCTTAGATATAAAGGGCGCGTACGATAGCGTCTACCATGAGGCCATTCTTGATGCACTTGAAGACATCGGCGTAGGTGGCCGACTACACGCATGGATAGGGAGCTATCTCAGAGGACGTACCATTTTTATGTCGACATCCGATGGTGACACGGCCAGGCACCTCGTAAGCCGTGGAGTTCCGCAAGGCGCCGTCCTGAGCCCCATGCTTTTTAACATAACACTAATTGGCCTTGAAGCTGAGCTTCCCGACGTTGTCAGGATCAGTGCGTATGCGGACGACATATGCATATGGGCATCTGGAGCAACGCGACCACAACTGCGAGCAAGGCTACAACAAGGCACATCAATAACATCTAAGTACTTACGTCGTCAAGGCCTGGAACTTTCAATAGCAAAATGTGCTGCATTGGCATTTACGAATAAATCAATGTCGCGGTACCCAATCTTCGCTCACGGAGCAGTGATTCCCGTGGTTAAGCACCACCGCTATTTAGGGGTCGTCATTGATCGCAACCTGTCCTGGTCAAAGCATGTGACTGTGCTGCGAAACAAACTAATCAGTTTTGTATATGTCCTTCGTGTTATAGCAGGACTGAGATGGGGCCCTTCGGAGAAAAGTCTTCTGCAGTTATACAAGGCATTATTTGTGGGCTATATAAGGTACAGCTCACCTGTGCTTTCCAGCATGCGGGCAACGTGCCTTCGCACTTTAGAGAGCCTTCAGGCACGAGCACTGAGAATATGTCTTGGCCTGCCACGGTGCACATCTACCTCTGGCACTATAGAGGAGTCACGCACCTACCCTATACAGGTTTACACGTCCTGTGAGCCTCTTCGAGTGCACCTTCGTCTACTGACCCGACATGCACAGCACCCTTTGTCTTCGCTACAAGTGGACCGACCAAGCTGTACCTATTCGCGATGCCTCGATATGCATAGGCACATGATCCCGTCAGGCTTCGCACCTGCCGTAGTCTCTGCAGTGCCTCCATGGACATTGACTAAACCACTGGTGTGCCTTCACATACGTGGAATTTCGTATAAGTCACATGTTTCTCATATTGCCCTCAAGCAACTCACTTTGGCACATTTAGATGACCGATACAGTGACTCTGTACACATTTACACCGATGGATCCGTAACTTCATCCGCCTCAGCTGCAGCCTTCGTGATCCCTCAACTCGGTATTTCCCGACAGTACAAATTAGATCATAGGTCATCTTCGACAGCTGCAGAACTTGTTGCTATACAAGAAGCCATAAAATTTGTGAACGACCAAGCACCGCGTAAATGGACGATTCTATCTGATTCAAAATCAGCGCTTCAAGCTATCTATTGTAACTCAAGAAGAGGCGAATTTTACGAGTTAACGTTAGGAATCGTCCAAGCATTTGACCTAACACACAGGAGTGGTCACTTGATTACACTCCAATGGATTCCTGGACACTGCGGCCTGGTTGGCAACGAAACAGCCGATAGCGAAGCAAGAGCGGCAATATACAACGCTCCTATGTACGTCAAAGTACCCTACTCGCGAGGTGACGTCAACACATTGTTGAGATCACTCATGCGCGAATGCGCTGCCACTTACTGGTCGCTACCAGATCACCGGAACAAGCGCCTGCGGGAAACAGACCCCGGTATGACTTTTCGTCTTCCAGATAAAATCAGCCGAAGACATGCTAATATACTGCACCGAATTCGCCTGGGCGTCGCCTTCACTCGCCACTACACTCACCTAATTGGCCGTGCGGACAGCCCAAATTGTGAACGCTGCCAAGTGCGCGAAACGATAGCTCACATATTTTGTGACTGTGCATTATACGTGGCGCAAAGAAAAATGCTAACTGCAACGTTTGCAAGCATTGGACGAACACCATTAAGTGAAAGCCACATATTGTCAGCAATGAACGACCAAACAGTGTCAAAAACTGCTACAAAGGCTGTTCTAGACTTTATAAAAACCACTGGACTAGAAACTAGACTGTAGGGTACTATGCTAAGTGGCTACTGTACATACGCACCACCTCTTCTTGTCCCCATCATCACCCTTCATCCCTCTTTTCTTCCCCTTTCCCTTATCCCCTGTGTAGAGTAGCAGGCTAAAGCGAACTAGCTCAGGCCGACCTCTCTGCCTTCTAATAAATTCTCACTCTCTCTCTCTCTCTATACTCCACGCTTGCCGAGCAAATAAACACAGATGGGTTTCCTAGTCACGACCTTATAGTTTTTGATGAAATGAAGATATCTGAACACGTGGATGTGAGCGCTACAGGTACGAATTTTCTGTCACTATGCTTCCAAGCACGTGTGTCGCTTGCTGATCTAGCATAATTTTCATTATATTTTGCAGGTGACTTGTCTTGAAAATTTCACGTGAGATTCACAAAAAGAACTGAGCGATCACGCAATATGGTGGTAATTTCGCCCTATTTCAAGGTATTTATTGTTTTATCACTGGATTTTGCGTTACTTTCTGAAGCTACACATCATGCGATGAAACGAACAATAAACTGCCCAATCATGCATGCAAGTGTATACAAGTTCTCACATTATTTGCATCGCGTGAAAAAGTAAAAGCAGATGTTCTCGCGAAAATTGTCATCGAGGTTGTTATCCTGTGCGAGAATGCTGGCCTTTTTGTTGACGTTGTGACATGCTAGGGAGCCCGCAAGAACAGCTATAGGTCAATGTGACGATCATATGCAACATAAAAGGTACAGAACTGTGCCAGTATAAAGGAAATTCAAGTGACAGACCTTTATTGGAAGATTCTTCGATCACTAAAACCTGCCGTGCGCACCTGCCCAATGTTTATTCGCCTAACGTTGGCTTCGCCTTCGCCCGTATTCAGTCGTGACCAGCATGACATAGCCTTTGAGATAGCTCGCGGGCGGCGCATAATCTCGGACGCCATAATCGTGACTGATTAGGTGCGCGTCGCCAAGTGGCGCTACTTGTTCAGCCGAAACCAGTGCGGTCGTAGCTGCAGTGCTCTAGGTTCTTGCTATGTTTGGCTTCAACTGTACGATATCCAGCACTTCAACTGCTTCCCTTGCAAATGGCTTCTAACGCTGACCAAAGCGACTGTGCTGGCGCCCCTTCGTTGAAGTTGTCGACTTTGAAACGCTTGAGGGAAGTTATTAGGCAACGAAGCGGCAAGAACGACGCACGCGAGCGTGGCTGCTCGAATACCGAGGGTGCGTATCTTCTTTGGCAACGACTTCAGTATATGCGCTCTGTCGCCGTGTTGCCCACCGTATCTCTCCTAATGCAAAAAAGCGCTGCATGTATGGTGAATTCTTATACGTTTGGCGTCACAGTAAGCTCCCAGATGTGCGCATCGCGAGCTTTCCTGATGTGCGCGCCTCGTAAGTGAAGTTTACACATTTCGTTCAATCAATGTGCTTACGCCGAAGGCGCCGAAAAAGAAAAAGTTTCCCGTGGTTCTTTTTTTTTCTTTTCTTATGTGGTTCTTAAAGGAAAAAGAAGAGAAAAGTGAGCCCCGTAACTGTATGCATCAGGGTGCGACACCTCAACAGTAGCTCACAAGGGGTGGAGGCAAGGATGGATTAAAAGGATAGGATTAAAAGGTATATATAGAGAGAGAGAGGAAGGAGAGAGCGAGGCGCAGGGACAGCGAGTGACGGAAGAGGAGATAGGAAATATGGACACGGTCGCAGGAGTCCGCGGACGGGGCCCCACTCGACGAGAGCTCTTGTCGGCGTCAGGAGATGGCCTAGTGCGAGCCCAGTCGGCCAGAGCTGAGCTGACGTCGGAGATCGCGAGGGCACAACCGCTCGGCACGAAATCCAGCGAGCGAGTGCTGACAGCTATGCATTTCGTTCAGATGGTGTTGTCATTCCTCTACGTTGAAGAGGGGCTGCATGTTCATCTTGCTTACTTGGTAGGAAGCGCAGCCACTATTACACAGAACACACAAGCGCTTAACGTAACACAACGTAAGCGCTTGTGTATTGTGTTCTGTGTAATAGTGGCTGCGCTTCCTACCAAGATGCATTCATACCAACTGGCCTGATACAATTGTTTATTGAGTTGCATGTTCATATTGTCAATAGCTGGTTTCATTGGGCGAACATTCAATCGCGATCGAGTCTGGTGCGTATCGGGTCTCTCTGCTGATTGGCTAGCGCAAGTGCAGCTATGTCGACCGTCAAATTCGATTTTGATTGGACACGATCCCGACGGAATTTGCATCCTGTGACATTGTAGCATCCCTAGAAATTTTTTTTTTCGTTGTTTGTGGGGAGCGGGGTTCAATCGGTCTTTATATTTAGTCGTACGTGCATTTGGACGCATGCATTTATATATACACCTGATGAAATGAAAAAAAAAAATTGGTAGAGTTTGAAATTCCTCCCCTTTGCTGTGTCGCTGCTTTGATACCTGTGTACACAAAACCTAAAGACGTGACGTCAAAACCTGCCCCCACCCCTACAACAGCATCTTCATTGCTGCTTGAAACATGTGAGTAGGTAGCAGACATTCCACAAAGCACCCATGTTTATAATCAAGCCACCCGAAGTCCCACTGCAGAAGCTCTATCGGGCTCATTTTCTGCCTGAGGGTTAACAGGTCGTGGTAAAAAAAGCATTAGTCTTTCTCATCACACCCAACCATAGAATACCATGTGAAGTAGTTTCAAGCAAACCTGGCATCATTAAAACACTTGTGTTTGTGCTCTGCAATTGCCTGCTGAACTTCTGAACTCGACGAGGCTTGTCTGACGAGCAGGATGCCCACATATCAACTGTGAGAAATTCAGCTTTCATCACCATCACAGGCCAAAGTGCGGCCTTTGTACAAGTCTTCAACACTGGGCAATCATTACTTTATGAAACTATAACAAGTAGTCCTTAAGCCGGGATCTCTGCTTTGGAAGTGTGACACGTGATTCGCACGGGCTGCCATATACTAACCTTGTAATAACAAATGAACGCAAGGCAAGGTGTTTGTCATCGCAGTGTCAACATATCTTCCGATAATACAGAAACTGCGATGTCACCAAGTGCAAGACATCCCTCCAGGTAAGATCGAAAGAGAATGCCAATTTTTTTCATTCAGAAATTGTCTGCGCTCTGTCACCAAGCAAGAAAAGTGCTGTACTTGTAACTTACAGAGGACATTTTTGATGCACAGGCCGCTTTGATCCTAAATGTCTTGATGTAGCTGCTTTGCTATGAACCACAGTCAGCACTGCATGCACAGGACTATACATAAACATAAAAAGGGCTGTACCTAATAAATGTTAATGTACATAGACAGGGTTTCCATAGTAAGATGTATGTTGGCAAGGGACCTGCTTTGCTTGCTACAATCATAGAATGCAGTTGTAGTGTGTGTGCAGACGTTCTACACAGCCAACAATATATCCATGTAATGGGAATAAGTGAAAATGGTTAAAGCATGGATACCGATGACTTTGTTGTCACCGGCGAGATAATGTGACAGTTTTTTGTCTTGAGTCACTGCTGAACTGTGGCATTTGACACAAGCTCATAAATTATCTCTGCAGCCTGAACTACTGGGTGATCATGTCCTGATACAGATAGAACATTAGTGGATACCTAAACTTATCTTAAAAACAGTTGTGGCAGTTTATTGTCACAGTTGGGACATGGTAGGGTAACAGCTATATGCAAATCAGCCTCATTATGATCTGGGGTGCTATTCAAGACATTGTCGAACTCTCTCTTGTAAAATGTGCCTTTATTTTGGTTGCATTTATAATGCTCTGTAAGGGGACTAATATTTCATATCCAGTGACAAAGAAAATTGCGGGAAAATGGTGTGGTCTACCTTGACTTAGTGAGACAGTCAAGAGAAAGAAGGACAAAGGTTAAATTTAAGGGCTCGTTTTCTTTGTTGGACACGATATTAATGAGTTCTCATTGTTATTGTCTGTCAGTTCTCATTAATATTGTGTCTACCCAAGGGAAAGGAAATTTATGCTGTATTAGTAATACCTTTATGATATTGGAAAAGGCCTCCTATGCTACCCAGCAGAATAGTGAACCGTGAAATACAGAAGCATTGGATTTGTGATAATGTAGCCTTGAAATTCTTGTGGCAGCTTGCTTTGATGTGAATTGCATACTGTGAAAGCTGTTTCTGAGGCCTAACTCTTGTTGATGTTTTTAAATTATCTTTCTCCAGAGGTGCCTGTTGCTGTAGTATTGTTGTTTTGCACAGCCCACACAAATTGTTCAATGCTCATGTACCGCTCAATTGTTCAGTGCTCATGTACTGTGCTCATGTTGGTTCGCAGCATTTGGTAGAGCAGGATGTATCGCATTGTGTAGGTGGACAGCCAGAAAATATGATTAGGAACCGGTGGAGTCAAAACTAAGTGTTGAGAAAAAAGAAAAAAAAAAAAAGACCGGAAAGAGTGCACACGAAAATATCGCACACGAGCTGCACACGTCAAGCTGTATTCCAATGGAGCCATTTTAGTAGCACCTGATCATGAGAGAGGCCTCTGTGCCAAGTATGAGCTCTCTGCGCTAGGAAAGCGAACACTAGATTGTTATCACTGGTCTTCACCTGTCTGGTGAATCCTGTTCTCCTATTTGTGTAGGTAGACTGCATTGTGCTCCAATGGACCCATTCACGGTACTCGTAGAAGTTTAAAGCACGTTTATTCAGCTACAGTGGCCCAAATGTCAAGATATATGTTAATCCACACTAGCAAGCAGTGCAAAAAAGTGCTTGTTAATTTTTTCCTGTGTGGACCATCTTGTTCTGTCGCACTGTTTGCTAACATGAAACCAAACTAAATGATTTGCCATTTACACTTCTGCAGTATACATTCAAGAAGGTTTAAAAAGTTGCTGGAGCGGAAGTTATTGCCCAGGAGTGAATAAAATTGCTTGAGTGAAAATTATTGGCCATCTTACTAGGGGCATGATAAACTACCACCGTTCAGCTACTAAGAACGAGCGTTTTCCTTGCACGCCCAATGAGTTTAATGTGGAAACTTTTCTGGTCACATATTGCTCCAACTGCATCTTAGTGTTACTAGTTTTTCTTGGTAAGCCTCTAGTTGGAGGCAAAGTTCTTTGGAAATTCAGTCACCCATAGTCGTTCCTATGTGTTATTTCATTGGAAACAACTATCTTTTAATATAAAACTAACGTGGCATTTACACTAACATATCAAAGCCACTTGACCTCTAAGTGGGTCATTACCAGAAAATAGCATGTTCCGACATTTTGGCAGGGCAAAAGCTGGCTTCACTTTTGCTGGCTAGGCATTTCGGGAGCTTCCACTGCAGCAATTTTTTCTTTAAACCGCCTTGTATACATTAATATTCAGGATGTCACACTACTATACTGCCACATGTGGATTCAACACAAAATTCAAGAAATACAGTTTTTTTAGTCTCCTTTCGTGTCTTCATTACCTTACTGGCATGCTGCTATAGCAAGTGACTGATTTTGGCTTTCAAATGTTTTTGAGGCTATAAGACTGATTGGTGTCCTCGTAAACATCATTTGAATCCTTGTTCAGTGTGCTCAGCCAAGCTTCCTCCCTACTGTTCACAGTATAAACAATATCAACAAGCAATAAAAAAAAAAAGGAATGATGTTTTCAATTCCTTCAAATTCACAGTGTGCAAGGTTTTCGTGTTGCTAAGTAGTTTTCTTTTATACAAAACGCAACAGCAAGAAACAGAGCTACCACTCTCTTGAATCACTTCGTGAAACCTAGCTCGTTTCACACTTAAGTTCAAATGCCTTTACCTTGAAACTGGCACTTATCAATGTGTATTTGTTTACAGTGCTGGACAAGTGATTTCCTTCGGTTTACAGTGTACCTTTGCTGTCATGCAGATCTCAAGTGGCGTCCCGCCTCGGTGTTCTAGTGGCTAAGATACTCGGCTGCTGATCCGCAGGTCGCGAGATCGAATCTCGGCTGCGGCGGCTGCATTTCCGGTGGAGGGAGAAATGTTGGTAGGCCCGTGTGCTCAGATTTGGGTGCACGTTAAAGAACCCCAAGTGGTCGAAATTTCCAGAGCACTCCCCTACAGTGTCTCTCATAATCATATGGTGGTTTCGGGACGTTGAACCCCACAGTATCAATCAATCATATCTCAAGTGGCAAATGTTATAAGCCTATGCAAGACAGTCAGATGTTCACATCTGCTTTTCGTAACTACTCCGAGCACAGACGAGCTCAACGACCATCACAATCACCCGCTGCAGAAATGTCTCGCAAAGAGTCTTGCTGGGAAGACACCTCAGCGGGTAACAGATACCATATGTAAACAATTCAGTGTAAAATGTGACCGCAACGCGTAAAAGGTCAATACAGGACAGCCACTTCATTGCTGCCAAAAAGTTTATTACAACTGCAAACTTTTAGTTCCAAAAACACATATGCAAGGCCTGCGCATGTGCTTTTTGAGGAATGGCAATCAAAACCGAAAGCCTACACCACATCACTTTATTGCAAAACTCGGACGCCCTCAGTGGCGGTTCAATTGCACTGTTTTGCCATAATCCTACATCTGTGTGCCTGGCTACACCCATTTATATCAAGGGAAAATTTAATAGTCAGGTGTCGCGTCGGCGAGATTGCTATGCGTGGTCAGCGTTCAATGCTACGCTCGGGAAAAACCTTGGTATGCAGTGCTGTTGAATCTACATAACTGAAACTCATGCCTGCTACAGTGCCAAAAAGTACTACTGAAGTTTACTGATAATTTTCTCATTTGCCTTGCTAAAATAAACACTGTATCATTTTTTGTGTGATTAAAGCAGTTACCAGGAGTTGTAGATAAAATACAGTTGCTCGCTTTGCAAAAACTCATGTCTTTGATTTAAGTGTCTTAGGCAGCACCACCTTTTCAGAAAAGCGCGCTCGTTTTGCAAAGTTGAATATCGGGTTTTTGACATGTGAGTCATGGTATGGCCGCAAACATGTACTTTAGTTGCAAAAAATATACACTCATAATATGACAATAAAATGTACACTGACACGGTTCATGTGGATCCTTGAAATCCTTAAAAACTCGTAAATTTGAAAAGTTTGTTTTCAAATCCTTGAAAATGCTTTAATATCCTTTTCTTTTTTTAATAAACATTGTTGCACATTTCACAGTGCATTATTTGTGATGCCGTCATTGTAGCAGGTGGCATATGTAATGTGCCCTTCACAAAAGAATTGTGAACACCAGTAGCTTCCACACAGAACCAACACTGTACTATGTACGGTGTTGGTTCGTGACGTGGCCAAAGACAGGATACTTTGTGTTGGGATTTAACAGTTTATTTGGGCGAACCTGTGCCCGGCAAATGGAAAGTCCGATTACAGTAGCAGTCTTGCACAGATAGCAGTGAACGGAGCGTCGGCCGTCGATCAACTACTGACAAGTGACGAAGTGCGTCGGCATTTATACTCTTGCCATCGAATGTCCTAGCGTTATCGCTGGCGGTGGCGTAGGTTCCAGAATAATCTGTACAGCTTACAGAGTGGGCGTGATGTTATCGAAATGATCTATTAAAGTCTGGAAGCTTCTCGAAAACTGCACGCGCGTTTTGCGCTGAGAATTGTGTAGTGTTTCGGGGCGATAACAAAACTTGAGAAATGGAACGTGGCATTATCTGGAAACTCAAAAAAAGGCAGGAGCAGGAGGATAAGAAACAGAAAAACAAATGCTTAGAAAAAAGAAAGGAAAAGAAACTAAAAGCTCATGTTGTAGAATGAACAGCTACAGCAGCCCCACGTGTAGGAAAGCAGAGATAATTGGCGACTTGATGTGCATTATCAAGTCAAACAACCTTAGAAGGACGGACAAGACCAAGCAGCAGGAGTTAGTGGATATTGATATTGCCACCCGCACATAGTGGGTCGACGGCAAGGGACACTGTCACTCACACGTAGTAGGTCGACAGCAAGAACGGCTCTCAATCTGGAGGAAAGACGATCGCGTGCTTTCTTCTCTGCACGAGAGCCAGCCACGACTGACGCATCGTCGTAGAGCTAGCTACTCGGTGGTTTAATAAACTCCCTCAGTACTTGTGGTTCATCGTGACAAACTGGTGGAAGTGCTGGGTATTCTCACGGATTCTGCAGACCCCCCCTCCCCCCAGGGAGCCCTGATAAGAGTGCAGTGCCAGTCAATACTCCTGTGCATCGGACCGGCAGCCGAATCAGAGGATTGCCTCCGGAAGTCGACGATACTGCTCCCACCACATCGACAAATATGACCAGTGCTTTCGTGCAAACCTCGCCAACCGGCACGGGAAGCACAACATCAAAGCCACTTTACGTTAGAAAGCCCATGGGCACCAGTGATGTTCCATGGTACGGAGCGCGAGGACGTTGAGGACTGGTTGGCGAACGGCGATCGCATAGCCACCTTGAAGCAGTGGGATGACGCAGCGAAACTGGGTAATGTCTATTTCTATCTCGAAGACTGGGCGCACACGCGGTATCAAAATCGAGAGGAGCAGCTGACGACGTGGCCCGAATTCTCTCGTAGAGTTTTGCAGACCTATGCCAGCGCTGATCGTCAAGAACGAGTTGAACGAGCTATTCTGGCCTGCGTCCAGTCGCCAAACAAAACTGTGACAACGTACTTCGGGCCTCTTCCAACGTACGGGCCTCTTCCGACGGGCCGATTTAAGAATGACGGAGGACAAGAAATTGCGTCACTTGATGCGCGGTGTCAAGGAGTCGACGGTCGTGGAGACGGTCGTGGAAGACGGTCGTGGAGTTCTTATCCAAGGCCATGACGGAAAAAATGCTGCAGCAGCGATTGAAGCAATAGGACAGGCAAGTCAGTGGCATGTCCACTGCCGACATTTTCATCACCACTAGAACCAGCAATAACTGTCTGCGTGAACTCATCTGTAATATAGTACGTGGAGAGTTGCAAAAGGCTGGTGTAACACCTCATCCTATGGTTAGCTCTATTGCAACTGTGATCAAGGATGAGCTGCACCAGGCTCTCCGGGACACCTTGCCTCCTGATACAGCTGCACTAGCTCCTACTGAATATCGCCGTGGGACAACTGACGCAGAAGCCTTGAAACGCCCTGGTGCATCGCCGCCATTGTTCGTTCATCCTGTTCCACCTGTTTCAAGGCCAAACCTCATAAGCGCGAAAATGCACGCGACAGCGACAAGCGACGCGACGTAGATCGGCTTCGCGCGATCAGTCGCTAGCACAGGCAAACCTCATTCACGCGACGGCTTCGGCGAGCGAATTCCACTGTTGCTGGCATGAGGCCGTCTACTCGCACCAAGAAAACCACGTAGCGAGCGGTATGCAATTTAAAAATAAGATATATTGTTGTGTAATAAAACGGAAAGTGTTTATTATTGCCTTGCAGCACTTTTTTATATGCACTTGCGTAAACATTGCGTTATTTTTTGTTGCGCATACGTGCCTCGGGCAGGGTCACGTGCACCTATGTAGTCTTTGTCTTTTCCAGTATTTCGCTATTGGCTGCTTGAGCCAAGCACTTCCGTGCGATGAGCGACGGTTTCCAAATCTGGAGAACCGAGCGATCGCGCGAAAACTAGCACGCGACACGTCGCGCGAACGCCCTGTTTCGTCGCTCATAGCGTCGCTCGTCGCTGTCGCGTGCATTTTCGCGCTTATGAGGTTTGGCCCTCACTCCAGTCAGTGCAGCACATACCGTACTACAAAGGCACGTACACCCGCTCTTGCCCTTTGTTCGTGGAGCTTTTGTTGCCCATCGTTCGGTGCAACTGGTCCAGTACATCGACGATCGGCAGGCGCCTCATCGGAGGTCTGATGTCTGGCGCACACCCGATCACTGGCCTCTATGCTTTCCCTGCGGAGAAGCTGATCACTTGTGCCGCAAGTGCCCATATCGCCGTCTTGGGCTTCGTGACTTCTCTGCGTACTCGCCGCCACCCTGTTAAAGCCAGAGACCACGCGACATCGAAAACAACCTCTCCCAGCAGCATGCACCACCGTCTGCCGGGTGCCAGTCGTACTTGCCATCACCGAGGGGATTTTTATCAATGCCCAAGCGGTATTCTACCCCACAGTCTCCCAGCCCCCACCGGGAAAACTAGCCGAAGCGACCTCTGGGGGAGGGGTCGCTGAACATCGAAGCGCTGAAGACCTTCTATTGACACAAAACCGTACAGAAAGTGGTCAGACATCACCTGCTGGTGCAAAGGATAGCTGGCTTTCACTCGACATAGCAGTGACAATTGATGGTTGTGCAGTTAATGCGTTAGTGAACACGGGCGCAGACTATTTCATACTGAGCGGGAAACTGACAACGCAGCTGAAGAAAGTCCTCACTCCGTGGCATAACTCGCAGATTCGGACAGCTGGTGGCCACGTCGTTACTCCACTGGGCGCCTGCAGAACTAGAGAACAGATTCTAGGGTATACATTCGTAGCAAGCTGCTTTTTTCTACGCGAATGCTCCCGTGACGTCATTCTGGGAGTTGACTTTCTACGGGAAAATGGAGCTATAATTGACCTGCAAGAGCGCCACGTCACGTTCTCAGCCCAGCGAGCAATCAACGTGCAGGATGACGGAAGGCGTGTCGGCATACTCTGTATTTTACAACAGACCGTGACGCTTCCTCCACAAACAAGTGTTCTAGTCGACGTAACATGCTGTGGTTTGGGCGATGGAGATGGGGTGGCCGAGACAAATTTAGGACACCTCCTGCAGCAAGGCATTTGCATAGCTAGAAGTGTAATACACATTCGTAATGGCCGATCTGAATTGCTCATTACAAACTTTAGCAACGAGCATCGACACCTTTTTTGCGGCACTTCGATAGTGTTTGCCCACGAAGTAGCAAACGTCACCAACTGTCTCACGTCAGAACTAGTGGATACCGCAGACACGTCAATGACTAATATTGACATCAATCCTGATCTGTCCACCTATAACCAGACTGCTCTGCAAGCGCTCTTGTTTGAGTTCAGGTCTTGCTTCGCAAGTTGCTC